GGTGATAACCGGCGCTATTTTGCAGAGACCTGTCTCGTCAATGAGCTATTTTGTCGGATCTCTTGTATTAGGGTTTTTTTGGTGATGAGAATCACATACTGTGCCGGCCTAAGTGCGAGTCCTAAGGGTTTTCCATGATAAATTAAAAATTGCAGTTTCTATGGTTCTTAGTTTAAAAGGAGCTATAATATATTGGCATATTTTGTAATAAGTATAATATGTAATTTTCTAAATTATTTTTTTTATAAAAAAATTGGCTTTTATAGTGTATCAAAAATCGACTTTTCTAAAATACTACTAGAGGAAAGTCGCCTAATATTGGACAGTTGCCTAATTTTGGATACTGGATTATCTCGAAACCTACTGACAGTTTTTTGTAATTAAGTGGACAAAACTATAGTTTTACAACACAAAATAATCCTGTGTAAACGGTATAGTTCAGTTGTGCACCACTAGGTGGTACCATAAAATCACATGTTTATTTGTGAATCACAGTTTTTCGTTTCTCCTGTAAAAATCCGTTATAAAAAGGTAAGAATTAAAAGTGTTTAAGTGAAATTTGGCATGCATGTACTAGAATATTGTTAAAATGAAAACCAGCATCTGAATTGAACATTCCTATCAAAGATTTTTTTTTATTTTACTCACCAAACATTGGACAGGAAGGTTGTCCAATTTTGGATAGGCAAGGTGTCTTAAAATTGGATATCCAAAAATAGGAATTAAAAAATTCAAACCAAACTAAAAAGAAGGTTTTCAAAAATAAAAAAAAACTAAAGAAAGTGGAAGACGAAGTTGAATCCTCAGACTCATCACAAGATGTTCCTTATGAAGACGACTCAGATATGGATCCCGATCAAGAAAGTGATGCAAAGTTTTTCTGCACTGGACGTTATTCAGAGGACCAAAATGGAGAAAACTGGATACAGTGTTCCATTTGTTTCAGGTGGTCACATGAAGACTGTGCTGGTAGTGACAAAAGAGCTTACGTCTCCGATCTTTGTTTACAAAAATAGGTTCTCAATATTGGATAGGGTATCCAATTTTGGGATACTTTTTTTTTTATTTCAAAAAGTGTCATTTTTTATTTGGGCCTATTTTTTATACCTTTTAAGGGTAAAATAAATGGTTTTGTATGCATCACGTGTTTTTATTAAAGTAATAGCACCTTCTGAGTACAAAAAAATAAATAAAAAAAATTTTTTTTCGGTTCAAATAATTGAATTTAGAAAAAGTATCCAAAATTAGGCCACCTTCCTCTATTAGAAAGAAAATAATTTCATTTTTTTAAAAATTGTGTCATAATAGTACCTCTATATTATATACCAAGGGACTACTAAAGTGTGTTTTATGCTTTAGAGTGCAGTTTGTTGCCCAAACACCCAAAAGATTGGGACGCCTATTAGTCCTGTGGTATAAGACGATATTTTTGTATTCCGGTAACAGTTAGAGCAATTTCAATGTTCCAGTTTAAGTTTGAGAGCAACCAATGATTCTATATACTCGCTCATACGTCTGGAAACGGTCGATTATCGGGGAAAATATATCAAAGATATCAAAAAAGTTTTGGGGTTCTATAATGCCTCTACTAGACAGTCATAATTTTAATTATATAAGGTTGATCATAAAGGCATGTCACACCAATATAACATTTGTACATTATTCCATTTTCAATAATTCTTCTCTCAATTTTAAGAGACATTGGTAAGAAGCATAGGTAATGTAGGTACTCATGGGGATCTCGGAAACATTGCCGTCAGAAGTATGGGTCAGAGGGGGCGAGTCGCCTCCTCAGTTTTTACACAAGGAGGGCCGCGCCCCCTCTAAGAATGAGTAGCTAAATCACTCAAGAGCGACCAACAGATCTTCTACTGCATGTGCATGCAGAAAATGTCAGCACACTGAAAATGATATATTATGCTAACTTTGAAGGCAGGCTAAAATTCGGGATAACATTTTGGGGTTAGAGTCTGGAACATAGAAGAATCTTCAAAATACAGAAAAGGGCGATCAGGTTACTTTACAATATGAGGCATAATGAATCGTGTAGGGGTGTGTTTAAAAGGCATAGAATATTTACATTAGTAGGATTATACATATACGAAGCGTGTACCTTTATGTACAAGAACAGAAGCATGTTTGCAAAATTCAAGATAGGTCACAATCATGAAACACGTTGTAATGGAGCTTTATATAATTATCCACCACACAGACTAACGGCAACAGAGAAAGGCTGTCAATACGTTTGTATTAAATTACATAACAAACTCCCTCCCTCATTTCATGGCATGAACTTGAATCAATTTAAGCGCGCACTGAAAGACTTAATACTAAACATAGAACCGTATACATTGGAAGAATTTTGCTTTTAACCTGCTTAAATTTTCTTTGACACCTTTTGCTATACAGTGTAATGTTAGCATTGTTTGCAAAATAAAGAGCATTATTATTATTAAATTACAAAAAGTGTAGAAGTAGAGGATATATTGAAAGAATTTGCCAGCAAAACTGCGGAAAGGCAAAAAATTTTTGGATATATTTAATTTTTTATAATTGCTTTTCTTTACAATGTTCAATAGTGCATTAAATAGGAACAACATTTTTTTAACTTTTGTATGTTCTAGAGAACTAGAATCTAGTTCTTCATTATATTTTAAATAAAATATTAATGACCTATGGTTATGGTTTTCTCAATCGAGTCAAGTATCTCTGAGTTGCTCAGTTGCATATCACTAGACATCCTCCGACACTTTTTATATTTTTTTCAAAACTTTTCTTTCAAAAATACATTATTTGATTGATTAAATAAACAGGTTTCAGAGTTACTTAAAAAACCCACTACTTTGCATTAATTCGTACACAATTTTGCATGGGGGGGGGGGACCTTTCAGACTCCATGGTCGCTGATTTTTGCCCCTCCCCTCCAACCGTTATTCACTTCCGACGTCGCTGCTCGGAAACCATAATACGAAGATGGTCAAATTCGGGAAAACTTGCGCAATTAAAGACTTATTATCATGCTGTAAAAAACAGAAAATTCCGATTACTTCCGAAGATATGCCAGAAAATCCGAAATTCGCCGATTTCGTTTTTAATTTTACCTGATGTTGTTTGAACAAATACAAAAAAAAAAATAAAAACGACTTTCTCATTGCCACTCTTTGCAAAACACCGTTGAGCGATTTTCAATGCAACGTTTCGTTTTGTCATCAACATCAACTTTATTTTTTTATATGACCTGTAAAGAAAAGTACACACTGTAGTGAGTAGCATTTTTTATTAGGAATACAACGATGTACGGTACACAAAACGAAAACAAAAGCTGAAAACTGTTGGTTTGGATACCATATAAAGCTTCTGTTAAATTTTAAACAATGTTTCTTTGAAGATATATTCAGTGTTCGAGACTTAATTTTCATCCTGTATACTAACTAAAAGATTGGAGTCATTGAGTGCTTAAGAACATATTCCTCAAGAATAGCGTCTTGACTTGCTTGCTCCGGTGGTAAGTAAAAATTAGTCACCTTATTTAGTCGATCCTGTCTAGGTAATAGTTTAACATACTTGTACACGTTCCTAAAGGGACGCTTCTGATTATTGAGGCCCTTTCTACCCTCCACAATGCTACATATATTTATTTGACAAATACACATTTTTTAAATCTAATAATAATCCGATCATTTTTCGTTTTGCCATAATACATTCAACTGCTATAAGGGTCCCATTGCTTCCGCTACATAGGATTTTATCTTCACGAGTCGACAAACCAGAATCACAAATAACATAATAAATTAATAATAATAAAGAGATATAATAAGAAAGATAGAAACAACACCATTTTACTTTTTAATGTAAGAGGGTTTTCATATCAAAAAATAACTTGATTGAAAAGTTTTTGGTCTTAATTGAACGGGACAATATAACAAACTGACCGAGTCGCAGGGACTTGACCACAAAACCGGGACGTCTGGCAAGCCTACACATATTCATAAATCATAATAAAGTGTTTCAAATCAATATATACAACGAGCGACAAACACAGACGGACGGACACAAAGTCCAAACGACAAAATTTAATCAGTTAGTCCGTTGACTATTGTCTACCGATTAGAGAATTGGAAAATTTGCAACCGTTCGCGAGTTATCATCTACACAGACAGACGGACAGAAAGTCCAAAGCTGGGTCGCTCGTAATAAAGAATAACTGCAATATTTTTAATTCCTACATACCTTTCGAAAAGGGACCGAATTGCCCATTAACTAGTATAACACTTTTTGCCGTTAAAAGTGCAAAATTTACATATTCCCTTGTTAAATGGTTAGAACATACTTAAGTGCAATATTAAGAACTAAAATTTAAAAATTGATACCTATACTTTCAATAAACGAGCGAAGTCTGAAACGGTGAGCACTTTGCGGACGCGTTTGTTTGTGTCCAAATTAAAAATATCCGTTTAATTCCCACACAGGGAATGATCGTGCAATAAATGTTTAATTAAGTAACGGAAAAACATCAATTATATGGAGTAATAAATTTAATCAGACAGATAGTTGGATGAGCGCGACAGTTGTTCTACTCTAACAAAAAAAAATCCGGTACCTATACATCTAAACCAAATACGATTGAAAATAACCCCTGTTTAATCGTCGGGGGTGAGAAATTGACCATCTGCAACGGAATCTCGTTAATGATTTGTTACATAACTATCGTACACCCGGCGGCGCGTATAGCCGTTAGACGCTCATTGTAGTTTCCGGGATATGTAAAAATCCGTTACGCTCTTATCGTCACGACGCCGTAGCTTTCAGGGAAATGTTCTGATTTAACATTGTACCAATAAGCTTGATGCCTGGGGTAGCACCAATAAGGGCTTTTAAATAGTCCCACCCTGCGCAAGCTCACGGCGTCCTTTAGGCGGAACTTGACTGTTATTGGGGAGTTTCGGGAAGGAATATAGGGTTGAAATGTCAAGAAAGTTTAGTTCAGTCCGTCGGTGCACGCCGCGGTGGTGGCATGCTTCGTTTGCAATACCACCATGAGATGGAACAGCTCGCGTCTTACAGAACACACCATGCGATACTTCAGCATCGCATTGGGTTAGAACCGCCTTTGTTAACTTCGAATGCTGCGGTGCAGCATCTTCAACATCACCTGCAGTATTTGAAGTACTCCGAACCGCTAGAACTCACAGCGTGTCCATTAGATTTGAGTATCAAAAATCAAACGCCGATTACTCCACCTTGCACGCCTTCGCCTGGTAATAAACGACAAACGGCTATAACGCCTTTAATCGTTCCCGAATTACCATCGAAGAAAAACAAATCTCCGATCATCCAACATAATTCGAAGAAGACGAAGGTGACCCGCAAACTTAACTTCGATGAAGATACAAGTTCTCCAGTATCCGGAACCATAATAAGAGAATTGGATCCGGGCGAAACCTTAGTAATTCGAAAGGGTGATATCGATCCAGCCTTCAACGTTGTGGAAGTCACCGACGAAGCCAAAGCCGAATTGGCAAAAATTGAAAATCACATCGGCGATTACGTTTGTAGATTGTGTCGTGAACTTTACGAGGACGCCTTTGGGTTAGCGCAACATCGCTGCTCGCGTATAGTCCACGTTGAATATCGCTGTCCGGAATGCGATAAAGTGTTTAATTGTCCCGCGAATTTGGCTTCGCACAGAAGGTGGCACAAGCCGCGACCTAATAAAGAACTCAAGTCGGAGGATATGGTGGGCGAGCTCGACGCCGGCGAGCAGTTTCCTTGCGAAGAGTGCGGTAAGAAATTTCGAAGGTTGGCCTACTTGAGGAAGCATCAAGCGGTCCATCAACAAGACTGACAACGGCTCATTCCCGTACGCCCCATTCCTAGGATGCCGACAAAGCTCTGGAGGCCGCCGCCCTTACCGCCGCTTACTAGTAATCATCCCTCTGCTTTAATTACTACAGACAGGTATGTGTCGAATGCCACGTGGATTAATCAATTTTAAATTTTGATACGTTGACGCATTTGCTGTTTTGATAATAATTTTTTCGTTGTCTTAACTATGCTCAAGAGATTTTAATTTAAGTATAAGCGAGACGACGCTTAATCATAAGCTTGATTTTAAGATCGCGTGTGGTTTACGGCGGATTTATCTTACGTTCTAGTCATCATCTGGTCATAGTCATAATTTGTACAGTTCATAAACTTCTAGTCCTTTCTAGTCATCTTTATGTAAAGAGTTTTTCTTGTGATATTTATTTTCATCATCCACCCTGTATATTGCAAAATGAAAAACTCTCTGCATGTTGTACATAAACTTAATGTAAATATATAGAGTTTAACTAGTCTTTTTTCTGTTCTAGTCTCTAATCTAGTCATTTTGTTAATATTTCTAGTCACACAAAATAGTCGATAATTACAGTTAATCGAGTGCAGTAAGTTCATACACTACCGGTGGACAGTATTACCTGTTATTATGTAAATTTCCTTTGAACGGTGCTAGTGATAGTTGATAATTATTGCAAATAATTATTTAAAAAAATTTAAAAAAATGTTGTAATTCTTACAAAGAAAAAATAGACGTGTTCGCACAGTCCTAAATGTTTTGCTCTCTTATTTTTTAAATACTAAAGTGCAGGCATGGGAAGACATGCAATAGGTAAGCTTAAAGCCAAAAGTCTGCACTAAAAACGCTTTTTTTTGTATAAATTTAGCTGATTATGTTTCGAAAATACACTTGATTTCTTTTTATTTATTAGGGGATATCTGCCAGTACAAAGATAAATATAGTTAATAAGCATTTCTAGTTTCTCTATAATTTAACTAGTCAAAGTCTAGTCTTAAAGTTATATTTAAGTAATTATTGTGATATTACGTAAGTAGGGTGTACGTTTTCTTTATATTCTATTTCACTTAATTTTAGTTTTGTATCTACGTTAGTGATGTAAAAATGTAACTAAACAGATGCGAGTGTGTTCTAGTCATTCAGTAGTGAACCATAGACAAAATGTGTAATGTTCAATTGCTGTTCTCTGTAAATAAATTGTTGCACAAATGCCGATCTCGTCTATGGATTTAGCCAAATATATATATAAAGTTTTGTAAATTGTTGAGTATCTATATAGATTTGTGTACAAAGCTGTGTAAATGTCAAAGGGCTTATTGTAAATAAAAATATTATGCTTTATATATAATGTATTGTAATAGGTCAATGCATTTTTAAACCACATAAGCGGATCAGGTAAGCACTGCAACTTCATTAAATTTCCCATTCGAGACTGAGTTTTTCTTAAACGAAGTAAGTAAGTATGCAATAGCAACAGGTAAGGATTACCTTACATAGATTGAAACAGAACACACATAATTGTTAACGAGCGATAAAAAGCGAATTTATGATTTTGGACTTTTTATCCGTCCGTCTGTTCGTCTGTGGACACGATAACGGTTTCGAATTTTCCAATTCTCTTTTTAGCAATAGGTAGACAATGGTCAAGGAACTAATTAATGCTGGGCAACATTTGTCAACCGGAAGTGGCTTTGTCGCTCGTTGTCTATATTTTCGCAGTTTATTAACCTTCAATTCGAGTAGGTATACCCATGATGATCTGTTTCCAACTTTTATGTTCCTTCCAAATGAGCCCATCATTCTCATAAAAATAATCAGTGAAGTTCTACCTTCATTTAATATTACAATGTAAATGAACTCTAAGTCGATATTTGGCAAAATATACACAAAAGATATTCATAAGAAAGTGTGTAAACTTTGTTACTGCACCCTTTTGTGTCTTAATTGCCATAATGAGACTTTCGCTTTGAATGAATACTATACATTGAATTTATAAACTATATAAATTCAATGACTCGGATTATACAAATAGGTTGCCTTAAATAAAAGCGATGAGTTGGTGGCGTACAATCGGGGGTAAGAGAGATATTGCTGAAAACGAACTCGTAGAGACCTCTACAATTGTACCACTAAAACACAATGCCATTTAACTTTTTTTAACTAAAAGATGGCAAAAGTAAATGAAAAATAGAAGTAGAGAATCGTTCTTTCACATTATTTAGATGCAAAAATGAGAGAACAATGAGAGATGGTGTACAAGAGGGGATTTTTCTCCACAAAATTAGGGATTGTTTGGTTCATACGTATATACTACTCGTTTACGTTTGATGTATGGGAAGTTGCAGACGTACAGTAAAGTATCTGCCGACATAGCAAAAAACATTGAATAAGCATGATTACTTATTCAATGCAAAAAACCACCGGCACCTTAGATAAACATAGCATCCACACACAAGTATAAATTGTGCAAAACTCTTATGCAGATAAAGCGCATAGTTTAAACCGAAATAGTTTAGTAAATTAAATACCTAAATAGCAGGCGATTAAAGGGGGAAAGGCTCTTTACACAAGAACGTCTGGAACACATTCAAAATCTACGTTACATAATGCAAGAAGAATCAAGCCCTTAGGGGAATTCTCCGCAATACACTTTACACTTTACATACGTTTTCACATTGCCAGTAGATCGTTCTGGACGTTCCAATTACACTGAAAGTTTTCAAGTCACCAGTAGATGTGTCTCGTCCAGGCGCTCCACTTGCCCTTTATAAGTACCCTCTTTCGACACTTGGTTTTAGAGATATTCGTTTCGAACTCATCAATAGATATGTCTCCTCCAGTCCAGACGATTCCTTTTGGCTTTATGTATGCTATCATCCGACACGCTGTTTTTCAGGTATCCGCTCTGAAAGTTTTGACATCACCAATGCATTTATTTCTTCCAGACGCACGTCCCAATTACCCTTTTGAGTACCCTGTTCCGACACTCGCCGCTCTTAAGATGTGAGGAATTATAACCGATCACGATAAGGAGTCGTGGAGGAGGATTGTGTTTGGTAGAAATTAATTCGTTTTGTTGAGATCTTTCATTAGCATACCAGGAAGGGTAAAACGTGCCCCCCCCCCCTTTCTTTCCAAAAACTTTATTTGATACCACTAGCGGCATGCGTATGTATGCACATTCTGAGGCAAATTGGTTGTCGCCTCAAGCATGTAAAACAGACGTTTTACTTCCAGAAACAGCATCTGGGAGATTAAGAGTACAACACATTTTCTTAAATAAAAAAAAATGCGTTAAAAATTATGACGGCTTTCTTTCCTAAAAAGCTATACCTATCGTTATTAATCAAAAAGCGTTTATCTTCTGGTTGTCTCCACAAACTTTCTCAAGTTGTCGAAATCTTACCCGTTTGTCTACCATTAAATAAGAACCTGCATCATTTATATCCATGTAGCAAAGCAGTATCAATAGAACAGAAACAGTGATTGAAGTGGCGAAAAAAAAGGAGAAATATGTACAGCAGTACAATATATTTAAAAATTGGATGGCGGAAAATCACTGCACAAAATTGTCGGAGAACGTTTTATTGGCATATTTTCAACAGAAAAAGGATCTGCAATGTGGAGTATTTTTTCAATGTGGAAGAAAACAATTGCCTTAAAAGAAAACGTGCACATTAACAAATATGAAATAGGTATAGTATTTTTAAAACCTAAATCCGCTGCATAGATCGACGATCTCAATTTTGACGTACGACTTACAGGAAGATATGGCAACAGCGCAAAAGTCCAAAAATGCAATAATAGTATATTGAAAGACAAGTGTTACAATGCGACCTATTGTAATACGTCCGCAAGATAGGAGTATTACAATAAAGCATTGTAACACGCGTTTTTCATACTATTTTTTCTATTTCGGTGCTTTAACTTAATTAAAAAAATCATTATCAGAAACTATAGGGAACATTAGAACTAACATGTTTTATGTTGGGAACACTTTTTAGGCCGTTAAGTTTTAGGTTGGCAGCGTAGTAAGACTGACATTTTGAAGTTCAAACATGGAAGTACCCAACGAAGTACCTGCTTGTACTAACTAGTAACTGCCAACTTAAGAGATGAGTTACCAAAAAAAACCGACTATAATCACTGTCTTTGTACAACTGTTTTCGACCGAAAACAGTTGTACAAAATCATCATTGTGACACCGAAATAGAAAAAATTACTTTGTATCTCAGTTATTTGTGGGAATAATCAAAAAGTAAACGAATAAACATTATCTAAAAATAGTCTCTTAGTAAGGGGGTATTGTTATTGTAACGGAAATGCTCCAGAATTCTCTGGAATTTTCTACGCGCGCGATAGTGGAAGTTGTAGGAACATTCGAGAATGTACTGGACTTACATTGCTTGCGTGTATAAATGGTTGCGGACCGAACATCGAGTTAGTCTACTATCGAACGAGATCGAGTACGGACGAAACATAGAGCGCGAAAAGCTGATATAAATTTCGAAGTGTGTGATATAAATAATCGATATAAATTGTACGGATTTTATAGTGTTTTAATTTTGTTTAATAAATATTGATATAAATCGAACCCGAATTATAAATAACGTTACATTGGTGTCAGGTGTGGGATTAATTAAATTAATTAAAAGTAAGATTAAATTAAGTGCTTGTGCTTGTGTATGCCTGTAACAAGATCTGCTGCCGCTAAAATGGAAGAAACGATGCTCGAGTTGCTCCAGCAAATCCAAAATGGCCAACAGGTGTTGCAACAAGAAATGAAAAGCAACCAAGAGAAGTTGGAAGAAAATTCTAGAAATTTTGAAGAAAATTCTAGAAATTTTGAAGAAAATTCTAGAAATATTCAAGAGAAGTTCGAGAAAATGGAAGAAAATTCTAGAAAGATTAATGAAGAAAATTCTAGAAATATTCAAGAGAAGTTGGAAGGAAATTCTAGAAATTTTGAAGAGAAGTTCGAGAAAATGGAAGAAAATTCTAGGAAGATTAATGAAGAAAATTCTAGAAATATTCAAGAGAAGTTCGAGAAGTTGGAAGAAAATTCTAGAAATATTCAAGAGAAGTTCGAGAAGTTGGAAGAAAATTCTAGAAGGATTAATGAAGAAAATTCTAGAAATATTCAAGAGAAGTTCGAGAAGTTGGAAGAAAATTCTAGAAAGATTATCGAAGAAAAAGTTTAAGATAGAATTACGGAAGTTTCCAAAACATTTAAAGCAACATTCGTTGAGATTGAGCACAAGTATGAAGAGCTGCGCGAGCAATTCTTGCGACTGACTACGGAAGAGCGTACTAATAATGCCCCAGATGAATTACTGATGGACCGTCTTCTTGAGGTGCCACAGTCTACTCATTACAAGAAGGTCGACCCAGAAACAAATACAAGAGTAGAAGGCGACGTTCAGCAAGCCCGAGTAAAGCCACCTACTTTTGATGGTAAGATTCCTGGGACCACGTACGTTCGACAGTTTGAAGCAGCGGCTGCGGCAAATAAATGGACTCTTCAAGACAAAACTACAGCCCTGATTCTTGCTCTGAGAGGAGATGCTCTGGATGTGTTGCGGACTATCCCCGAGGATCAACAGAACTTCCAACAAATAGTAGCGCGACTCGAAATGCGATATGGCGATAAACACCTTCAGCAAGTTTACTATGCCCAAGTCAAGAACCGAATACAGAAATCTGGAGAAAGTTTGCAGGAACTTGAAGCGGACATCGCTAGACTGATTCGATTGGCATACCCTACGGCACCGGAGAGCTTTCTTGATCAACTTGGCTGTACAAACATTTATCGATGCCGTTTGTGATGGAGATGCCCAGCAGGCTTTGAGACTGGCTAGGCACGACAAAATTGAGAAAGCTTTGGCCCATGCGTTAGAATTCGAAGCCGCCAAGAAAGCTAGTCATGGAAGTGCGCGAGTACGTATGGTGGAACCTCGCAGTGAGAGCCGGGTAAGAACCATCGAAGAGGAAGGTGGCTCTGAAAGTTTTGAAGAAAAGGTCAGTAAAGTAGTGGAAGAAAAGGTCAGTAAAGTAGTGGAAGAAAAGTCAGTAAAGAATGGAAGAAAAGGTCAATAAAGCAATACAGTCACTGGCAAAGAAACGTGAACCACGGCGAGATTGGACACGTTCGCCGCAACTGCCAAAAACCATTACAGCAGTCGGAAAACTAAGAAAGTTCGACAGGAAGGGGCTATCCCCGACCTGCAGAAACAAAGCCCCGGTCTGCACTGTAAACATTACGTCGTCTGGAAAAGTTCACAATAATGCAGACGCTTTGTCAAGAAGACCGTGCA